TAATTTAAAATAGTACATACCGAAATACGCATTTTTTTCTCTCTACAACATGACTAATAATACTGAACAACGTGTGCTTAATATGTAATCATGTTGTAGAACATCTTGCAGTTACACACTCTTAGTGTTATTGTGATTAATTATATTGATGTGCAAAAGTGTTTTCAAATGTTTTATTCCATGCGTAAAAACGAATCTGAAAACGGCATTTTACTAGCTAAAATGACTCTTCACACATGGATGGCTCTGGCAGTGTGGCACAGTGGCAGTGCCATGGACTGGAACACATCAGCTCTATTTTGGCTTCCGCTCATTGGACGCTCAGACGCAGATGTGCGTAATTGCGCGTGTCCATCAGTGAAGTGTGTTGGGGTGTCAACCGTTCATTCAGGTGAGGAGAGAGAGGGTGGAGGGGTTCAGTGGAGAGGGAATGAGAATGTCTCTGTGTTAAAATTGATGTGACATGCAAAAATAACTCTTATAATTGGACAAACCGCGCGCGCAATTAACCTGTGACCATCAAAGGTGCACGCGCCTCACCATAATGGATTTCCGATTTTACTGCTCCTTAATTGACTTGAGCTTGTCAAATTGGACGAAACACTCATCGATATGACATTATTAAACACAATTAACACTCATGACTACATCGATTAGCTCATTACATCCACCAATAGTCCTGCGCTTCTGCAACAAATTTTAAACTTAGTTTAAATTAAGTAATCCTAAATGAATAATGCATTCAATAATCCAAAATAAATCATAAATTAAATAATCCACAAGCTGGGGCACATCACTTAAGGTACCGATTTCTAATGAAGGATGTATAAGTGGAATTTGATATATTGAGTTAGATGTTGAATATATTCGTGTGAATTAAAACAGTTTCATAATTATATACTTATTTAGAATTATATATTTTATATTATATTTTCAATATTTTTGTACACTTATGAAAAATGGTACAAATCTGTCACTGGGGCTGTAGCTTTTTAGGTACTATGCACCCTTTAGGTAAAAATAAAACACAAAAGTGTACCTTTTAAAAGGTACAGCTCTATTAAGAGCTTTTGTAGCTTTTTTCTGAGTATTAAACTGTAATAACATTTGCAAATATTGTGATTTTAATTGAGCGTGTGTATATAATATTGCTGGTAGTAGCCTATTATGGACATCATTCTACATGGTATGCTTTTGATCATGAGTTTGGAGGCCTAATAGCTCATGTGAGCTTGTACTGGCCGTTTTTTATGGTGCGTTTTGTTGATAGCAACCTAACGTCGACATGATTGGTTTGCAGCTCAATATAGCCATAATGAAAGAACGTGTCAATCACACTGCTTGGATTTTCAGCTTTATAGACTATTCACCTCATTCTTACTTCTTGAAACCGACCAGAACGTGTATCAGGATTTATTTGACATTATAATTCTGAAGTAAATTCCTTTATAGCCTATCTCTTAACAAAAATATTATATTTTCATAATTATGTAGATTTCTCATCAATGCACGTGGGATCAAACTATGCCAAGAGGGTATTTTGGAAATAAACGGCACAGAGCCAGAGTAACACCTCACTACGCAACGCACCCGATAGGTTCATCACAGTCAAATGTCACTGCTTGGCTCCACTTTAATGCGTATGTCCCCGTATCATGTTTATATAATAGTTAGTACAGCTGTTTGGGTGAGAAAGAGGCGAGCAATGTTAGCAGAAACGAGCCTATAAAGTGCAATGCAGCTGAGACATTTGAGGTAATACTGAGATATTTTAGGCTATGAGAAGTGCCTATTTAATATCTCAGTCAACAGCTCAGCTTTCATTTGTTATGTTGTTAGAATGGCATCTGAACGTTTACATTAAAGACTGAATCTGCTATGGAATCAGACAGTTCTTCACTTTATTTGGATCAGATCGAGAAAAATGAGAAGAACTTGACTTAAAATAAGCTAATCTTATCCAAGATCAAATTAATCATCAGATTTAATATATGTTTTTTGATATACAATAATCAATAATTTGCATATTCTGCATTAATGGTATTAGTGAATTGCATTTAATATAGCATTTGTATTTGCACAAAAAAATAAATAAATAAACAAACCTAAAAATATATATTCTATAGGCAACTATTGCATTTTCTACCAATGTTGCATTTTATTTTATTATGGAATCATGTTTTATTTCATATTATAATTATGTTATATTATATTCCATTCCCTTTTATTCTGTCGTTGCCCATTTCGAACACACACACACACACTTATATATATATCGTGCACAGTAGCATTATCCTCAATAAATGTTTCTAGATCGCCGCAAAGTCTATATGCGTCTCTGCTGAGGGAAGTGACGCAGGGACGGGCTGGGCGAAAATAAAACCCCGCTCCCCCTAAAGCCGTGATGATTGATGATGTCAGGTGTTCTGTTTCTAATTAACGTTTAAATTAGGCCAAAGAAAACCTTTCGAATTAGCGCTGCTCCGCTTGAGACCGTCCGGATCCTCCCAGAGCGATTTGGAGAAGAGAGATGGCGAGATTATCTTTAGTACTAATAATGCTCGCGCATTTGAGAGAAATGTAACACCATGTTCAGCTTCGGTATCTCTACCCGCTCTCTGTGGGGTAGGCTAATGCGAATGTGCTATTGTTGGCGCTGAAGGGCATCATTCTCCCGATCAGAAATCCTATCCTTCCACATTACATTAATACTCATGTATCATTTAATAGGTTTAGCAGCTTTCCTCTGACCTGACATTCTGAGGTGACCAATTCGTTAAGGACATTTGAACCCGACTGGACTAATAATAATAGCTGTTATTATTACTATTATTATTATCAGTAGTAGTAGTAGTAGTAGTATTATTAGATTAGTATATAAAGACAAGAAACTAGAAGCAACATAACTGTAAGGACGTGGCATCACTGTAGACTCATTATCATGTTTTGTGTAGTCTGGCTAGATACATTAGTTCAATGCATTGTTGCTCATTTGCCGTAAAATATTCTATTGAGTTTGTCTCCGTGTCGCCCACGTTGAGCGGTCTGGACCCGCACTAATAGAATGTCGTGCTGTTTTAGTGCTCGTGAGCTGTTTGGCTTGTTTCAGTCCCTGGACGGATGTCACCATATGGTGCTCTTGGCACGGACAATGCGATATTCCTGCGAACTGGCCATACATCGCCAGTGACTCGTGTAAGAGAGACATCTATCACCCTAATCGATTATTGAAACCCTGTTAAATATTATCAGATATCAACATCGCCACTTGTTTTATTGCCCAGTGTTTTATATTTATGGGGAGACCACCTAAATATTCACTATAGTCTAAAGGCCACAGCGAGGTTTAAGAGAAAACTATTCTATCGGATTGCTTAAATACATATTGTAACTCAGTGGCGAAATGCTAAATTTTTGTGCAGTCGTATTTTTTATTTATTTGTTCATTTTTATTTTAGAAATAAATCAAACAACAAAATATCAAAAGCAAATAAATCTAAAGACTTCAGACAATGCTGTTTAAAAATATTCGTGAGCAGATCATAAAAATAAAAATCTTAATATAATCGCCTTTATATAAAACTTTAAGATTGTAGGAAATATCTGTATAGTGCTATTTTTGTTAAAAAGCAAGCTGGGAAAAAAATATAGCGTAATAAATGCAATGTAGCACTAAGAAATCACGAAGTGCGGTGCAAGAACGTTTGGAAAAAAATATTTTATTTTGTTGATCAATTTCTTCAGGTTATCATTACACCAGTCACAGCTCTCTCCTATTTCGTGTTTTCCTAAAGCAAGAACACGATTTCGTCTTACCTGTATCTTCATAGCAGGATGACTGCGTTTCTCCAATGTCCCACGAGCATCATCTGAAATCATGTCCGACGCTGAGCGGGTCAGAACAGCACTGCTGTAAGTCTGCTGCTTTCTGCTCTTTACACCACATGCATTTTCACAAATTCATAGAATGGCACTGTGCTGCATGACGGAAATTTAACGGACATATTTCGTGTTGGTCCTCAGTTTAACTTTTAACCTTCTCACATATTTTTATATGTAAATTCAATAAAATGAGGAACACCTTTTAAAAATCACCCTTTAAAACAAACTACACTGTCAGTATCCTGCTTTAATACGCAGGATATTGTACCTTTGCTATATTTCTGCTACATTAAGAATTGATCAAATGTCCCAAAATGTATACATTTAAAAGACTTAACTGCTTTTTAAAAAATCGCTGCCATTGGCAAAATCAACACTGTTAAAAACTATATATATATAAATATATATTTATTTTATAATGTGATGTATAATTATCCACATCTCAGCTTCATTTCCAAAGCAGTTTGTTTTGCAGTGAAGTAATATATATATATATATATATATATATATACATATTTTTAATTGGACTGAAACAATGAGTACACATACATATATTATGTAAACAAAAACTTTTATTTTGGATGCGATTAATCGCAAATAATAATTTGAGAGAAGTAATATATATATATATATATATATACATATTTTTAATTGGACTGAAACAATGACATGCCTTGCATTCTGATCTCGTGTGTTTTGATGACAGCAGATACACGAGGTGTGAGAAAATCATGCTGTCATAACAGCCTCCAAAACTGCGATAATCATGATATTACAGTAATTAGTCCTTCCTAATTTGTTCCCCTATACAACTCTTGAATTCTAAATGTTCATTGATGCCTTGAATGTTTATTTTATTTATTTATTTATTTATTTATATATTTTTATTTTACACTATACATTTTTGTTATGATTCTGAAACTGAAGATAGATCCGCATACACGTTGACAGAGAGAGAAGGCAAGTATTGGTGTTAATGAGAGCACTCTGCCTTTTCAGGGAGGTATTCGCGTGGAGCACGTGGTTTGCCCTAAGTGGGAGTGGGATGCATCAACAGATGCATAAACATCCCGAGCCATCTCCTCTCTTTTTAAACTTAAGGGGGGAACTCCTCCTATTCTCGGTCCAATTCATTATGATGGTCTGGCCCTTTAAGACGGAGCAGCGGGTCAGCAAGTAGTGTAGTGTTTCTCTAATTGAACTTCACAAAAGCAATCAACAAGAACTCGTTAGCGGTTGCTTGCTGTTTTGAGCCTCCTTGAGACACGGCTGCACATGCTGAAGATCTTCATGGAGCAGCTCAGAGAAGACTGGAGCTGCACATGAGGACTAAAGTTCGGGTGGCTGTGACGCCTGAAGCATGGTGCTTTTGGAGAGCCACTTCAGACTGAGCAAGAACAACGATTCTGTTTAAAAAAGGAATAGACCAGGCTTTTGTATGCATAAAAAAGTTTGAGCGAACTAGGTGACTTCTATTCGAAATAGTTTCTTGGGACTGAGATGACCTCCAGATCTAAAGACATGAAGGCAGGCTCCGTTTTGCAGTCCAGCGGCGAGGAGAGGCGGCGGGGTCCCTTAGACCAACTCCCACCTCCGGCCAACTCCAACAAGCCTCTCACCCCGTTCAGCATTGAGGATATCTTAAATAAACCCTCCGTCAAGAAGTCCGTCGGTAGTCTGTGCCCTCCGCGCGTGCTGGAGAAAGTGAGCGGCTCGAGCGCGTCTCGGAACGGGATCAGCGCTCCGTCCTCGCCGTTATGCGCTCTGGAGGAGCTGGCGAGCAAAACATTTAAGGGGCTGGAAGTCAGCGTTATACAAGCTGCAGAAGGTAAATTGTTTGACTTTTTTTTTCAGGGGTTTGTAGTTTTGCATTCGGATTGTGTTTACGAATTTACCTTCGAGTTTTAAATGCGCAATTGAAGTTAGTGACAATTTTGTTAATGTGTTATTGTAGCGGATTATAGGCTATGTGGATTTTACAACTGATGTCGAATTCATATATATATATATATATATATACTTTTTTTTTCACCCAGTGGTTCAGTGTTTACCAACTTGTTTAATCTCCGCGTATTTTTGTTATACTCATTTTCAGATATTACATTTCTCCTGTTTTTTCTTAGCTAAATGTCAATAGCGATTCCTCGAGTGTGACTGTCAGTATTTCTGGAATTTCACCTAGCCTTCTAAAAATTAAAGGTTCTTCGATGGTAAAGCATAAAAATCAAGCAATCTTAATTCTCAATATATAGGGCTTTTGAGTTGCTAAATGGTTCTTTGTAGATCATAATGATACTGGTTCGTGATTCTTTAAAATGCCAGTAAATCATGGTTTCTACAGATCCAAGTTCTTTGTAGATCTCAAAACTGACCCAAACTTTTTTTTCTTTTCTTTTTTTTTTTCAGAAATGCAGCTTAACGTGATAGAACGCACCATGCCTTTACAAGAATGTTAAAGAGGTGGAAATCATTCATGTTCACTTGACACATTTACTGAAAACTCGGTCGTGACGTTCGTGTTGACATTGCAGATCTGTCTTAGTGGGTCACGCTAACGGTCGTCTGTAATAAGATTGAGGCCTGTTCTGTGGCCTGATAGGCTGCTTGATTAACACATCAAATATTTCGAATTTACTTGGCAATCAATAGATCAGATGTTTTGGAAAGTTTCTCCCACTCTTTTCAAGAACAGCTGTTATGCAGCTGGAATGAACAACTGTGGCCTATCACATAACACAACAGTGAGTACACTCTTAACAATAAAGGTTCTAATTTGAACCAAACAGCATGTTGCAGCCTGATTCAAAAGGAGAACTTTTTTAACTTATACAAAATAAAATAAACATGCACAGTCTGTTGTGGTGCTTAAAAATCATAGAAACCAAAACACTAATCTAAAGAACCTTGTAACATTAAAGACTTTTTAATCTCCAGAGAACCAAATAGCAACTCAAGAACCATATACAGCCAAAAATAAGACCGCTGAAGAGCTTCCAACCCAGCATTTTTTAGAGTGTACTGTTTGGGAATGACTTACTGATGAAAGTTATTCTGAATTGTTACCCACACGCGCCGCCTGCGTTATTCCTGTCATGCGTTCCTGGAAATCAACTCTCCTTTCTTTCCATTTAAAGGTCGCGAACATCTCAATGCCTTCGGCCAAAGACAGGCCTCCAAAAAACGAAGGAAGTCCCGCACGGCCTTCACCAACCACCAGATCTACGAGCTGGAAAAGCGCTTTTTGTACCAGAAATACCTGTCACCGGCCGACAGAGACCAGATCGCACAGCAGCTGGGTCTGACCAATGCGCAGGTCATCACCTGGTTCCAGAACCGAAGGGCCAAGCTCAAGAGAGACCTGGAGGAGATGAAGGCGGACGTGGAGTCTCTCAAGAAAATCCCACCACAGGCATTGCAGAAACTGGTGGCCATGGAGGACATGGAAGACGCTCACAGTGGCTCGGGGCCCATTTCTCCCAGCCTTTCCCCAAGAGCCTTTCCACAGTCCCCATCCTCGTCCAGAGGCCAAACCACAGACGAGTTCTCAGAGGAGGACGAGGAAATCGAGGTGGACGATTAAAAGCAGGCCCTTGTTTTCAGAGAAGGGCATTTTTCACAACTTTTGCACGGACTCTGCGGAAGAACTTGAAATGCAAGGAAAGTTTTCTGTCTCCCTTATTTTTAATTTATTGAAAGGACCTCTACGTTCTGATGTCCAGATTGAAGACATGGTTTAAGGAATACGTTTTCATAAGATCTGAGAAATGGTTAAGAGATAAATGGTACAGTATCAAGACTGCAACATGTGTATGTGCATTTTAAGCTTTATTTCTCGATTTTCGAAGGAAACGTGTGCAATTGTTTACACCGTTCAACACATTTATGACCGCTGTAGAAACTCTACGCCAAAAGTGATTTTCAATTAAATTCTCAGCTGAATAGAATTATATATTTATAAATAATTTCAGAAGTCATCAGAAGCAAATTTATTCAATCTTGTTTCTGCATTGTAATTGTCAAGACTCATTTCCCAAAGTTTTACATTATATATCCCAGTTTCTGGCACAATTCCTACTGGCACTATTAACAAAAAAACAAAACAAAAAAAAAAAAATGTATGTCCAAAACAATGCAAGGGCAAGGTTGTGTATATATATAACAAGTTATGATGCATCTAACTCGTTAAATTTATTGTAACATTCTATTTAATCATCATTTATGTAAATAAAGGGTATATGTAATTTCACAATGTTTCCTTCCTTACCTTGAGTCAGAATTTAATCATGCATTGTATGCTGAGCTGAATTATAAAATAATTTCCCTATAAATTTGTGGATATAAGAAATCCACTAGAAAGAAATATATTTTTTTTTTCAATCTTAAAAAAAAAGAAACAAATAAGTCTTTCACTCTTTTTTTTTTTTTACCCAATTGTATTAATCGGTAATTAAACTCAAATTGGTTGAAAAAGTTCAGGACCACCTGTATATTTAAGGCAGCCCTAAAATTTAAGTTTGCTATTTTAGTGGCTTGATTGTCATGAGGCAAAGTTGCCTTGCATAAAATGTTTTATTTTATGCAAATGATTTTATGGCACACTCTCGTGGAGTTAAACAGCCGAGAGAGGCAGAGCACTTTTACACATCGCTTCATTGTGTGTTAAGAAGAGTGTTTGTGTGTGTTAAGTGCTTGAAGCGTAATTAGGACAATCGAACAAGGTTCCCCCTCGCACATTGTCACGAGGACAGCATAAAGCTTTCTTTTCTCCTCGCGCCATATGGTTTATGAATCTTCTCTAACACAAACTAGTCAACATGATTGATTAGGTTTACCCGCCTTTGAGTGCGCATTAACAGTTTCAGTCGGTCGAGCCCAAATAATACCCCACATCTGTGCCCGTGTGTTAAAAACGCCCATGAATAGCAGATGATTTGCATGCGGTTCCTAATGAATAAATCTCAAAAGGAAGCCGGTGGAAATTGGGAGGATTGTTGCATCCTGGTCTGCTGAATTTCTTTCGGCCCATTTGTGTCAGTTGTGAGCGGATCAAGGCAGCAGTTTTGGGGCAGCGAGAAGATGGAAGTACAATTGGCCTAATCGCTTGGAATAGTTGGGGTTGAAAAGTCAAGTAGATTTTTATGAGCGCTTTGTGGAAAGACTCGCCAGAGAGCCGGAGTTCTCAGAGCTGTCGAGGCAGCGGCTCATTCTCGTGCTGTTTTGTGTTTTCTGCTGCGATTGAAGTCCGCACAATAGCTCTAAATGCTTCGGGTTCCTACTGAGAGTCGAGATGACTGGAATTTGAAGGTATATGCATATAAATGCGGTTGGACTATGACGATTGAAAGCCATGATTTCACAGTGTGAAAATATTCGAGCAAACATCCAAGCGCGTTAAAAGCTCTGAAATGTCCCCTGCATGATAGATCACGATTCAGTGGTCAGCTTGTTAAACACAACTTCTGCAAAAATGTACACAGTGAAACTTTTCATTCATGTAAAAGACGGTAAAAGTAGCCTATAGTTGTTAGTGGATTTGTACGGGCAGACATTAAGCTACTGTTTTCATTTAAGGTCTTAATAATGGCAAACTCAACATGAAAAACGAATGCCAGAAATAGTAGTAATAATAATAATAATAATAATAATCATAACGCTTTAGAATTTGCTTAGCCTACAGAAAGGTAGCCTACTTCATTGTTATTTAATGTCATTTAACAATATTATTATTATTAGCCTACTATTATTATTGTTATTATTAGAATCATCATCTTTTACATTCGTTAAAATGTATTTAATAGGAGTTATTATAAAGAAAAAAACGAAAGAAAAAAAATCAAACATTTAGCCATATGCGCTCGCATCTGTTTTTATTTATTTATTTTTTAACGTTTATCTATTGTAGCCTTTTTTTTATGGAATCGCGAAAAAAAATTCTAAATTACATTAGATGCTTATATAGATGACGTGTTATATTTTATTTCGTTTTCTTAAATATTAGGCCAATATAGCTCTGCGTTTTCTTAAATATTATTTTTATATGCGTAGGCTAGGCCTATATATAAAATATATGTAGCCTGAATGTTTAATGTAATATAAAATAGTTGTGAAGATGTAGCCTACATGTTTATTTTTTCTTAAAAATATTCGATGAACACAGAGCAGAGTCGTGTGTTTTAAAGCCTAACATTCTAGATGATGTAATGCTTTACAAGAGGGAAAACTAGCCTACTATTCTTAAAATTAATTAATCAATTGCGATAATACTTCAATTAGTTAACAAAAAGCTACAAAGTAACATGTACATATTTGACCCTCCAAATAAATTAAGTCAGCTGTAATTCTGATTACCTGCTGGTGGACATAAACTTAAAATTTACCAGGTAAATAATAAAATATGAGCGGAAATTTACGTAGCCTATTAAAACATACCAGCGTGCATTTCCCCCAAATTATATCGATCAAGTATATTTTCTTCTCTTGAGACATTTAAAGCGTTTTTTAGTCACAACTGTTACATCGGAATTACCTTCCCTTCATGTGATGACGGTTGATACAAGCATGTTTTTATACTAATACTGCGATGATACTAGACATTCTGCCTGAGGTTTTCATTGTATCTTCAGAGCACTAGGCCTACATATAATGTAGTCTGAGATTAAAAATGCATCGAGATGATCATAATAGTCATTGTGAGGTGACTGAAGGGGACCGGCGTCAGTGAAGCTCTCTTGAAGACCAACACTGCACCCTAGTGGTTCATTTCTAAAAACACTGGTTTTTTAGTCACAACTGTTACATCGGAATTACCTTCCCTTCATGTGATGACGGTTGATACAAGCATGTTTTTATACTAATACTGCGATGATACTAGACATTCTGCCTGAGGTTTTCATTGTATCTTCAGCGCACTATATATAATGTAGTCTGATATTAAAAATGCATCGAGATGATCATAATAGAGTCATTGTGAGGTGACTGAAGGGGACCGGCGTCAGTGAAGCTCTCTTGAAGACCAACACTGCACCCTAGTGGTTCATTTCTAAAAACACTGTTGATTTAAATACAAATTACAAAGAGACTCTATTTTGAGTTTAGCAAGACTAGTCAACTTGTATTCATATAATGATCATATAATTTTGAATACCTTGCACATAAGTAATTTAAGTTTAAAACACACACACACACACACAATATATATAAAATGCACCCAATATTTTTTACCACTTAATTTATTTTTCAAAAATACAAAACAAAAAAATAATTATATATGCACAGAAAGCTATTAAAATAGAATATGTGAAATACAAAATATTTACACCAATTGATATTTTCACACAATCCTATCTTGTCCGTTTGTCTTTTATAACATAATGGAGTACCAGTGGTTGTGCCTAAAAGGGAGACAAAGAAGAAAACATTAGAACATGAATGAAAGGTTTAACAAAGTATCATCCTGTTGACAGGCTAATGACTGACACTAAACAGAGATTGCGGGCAGAACTTCATCCATTGCACTTAAAAACATGAGGCATGGAATTACTCATGCTAAATTCTCACAACACTTTGATGCCCCACAAACCAGAGCAAGACACCGCATGAAGCAATGTGGAGAATAGCACTTCCATTGCATTTTTCAGACCACAAGGCGACATCAGGCATATGGCTTTTCCTAGTACTAATAAATCTCTGCCTATGATTCCCCTCAGAAGATTCCTTCAGTGAGTAAAACACTGCACAGTAAATCGCTATAGGAATGAAGATCCCACCTAAAGAGAAAGCAAACGGGCTGAAAGTGTGAAAGCATGTGGTATGAAATTAGCTGGAGACGGTTGAGTCTACGCTACCTTTCCAAACCAGTGAGACAGCCAGAGACGCTTCATGGTCATGTGATCTGGGAGAGATTCGTTATTGAATAACATCTGGACCTGCAGTGCCATAAAGAGCACACAATGAAGAGTGAAGAAAAAAGGGCAGGAGGATGGAAATGAAAACAATGAGAGGTTTAGTTTAAAATCTTGCTAATTACATTTCACCATTAGAAAAATGTATTTTTAGCTGGTCATCCTATTTGAACATTGATTTTTTTTGTTTTTCTATTATGGAACTGAACATCAAATTCTCCTAACTGGGATGTACAAATCATACATGCATTTATACAATCAATATGTTGTCTGTTTGTCTAACACAGTGTCTGGAAGCACTAAAGCCACACATCACCTTCACTGACAACAGACCAATCAGCTGTAAGCTCAACGATAGACTTCAGCAACAGAAAATGGGTGAATTCTTTGTTTCCTACTTCAGAAAAACACATTCATATGTACCATTTTGTATACTGAATGAATTTTATAACAGGTTGCAATTGCATATAGTTAAAAACAAATAATGAATTAAATTAGTAGTCCAGAGACCACTAGCTATTTATTTATTTTATTTATATTTTGAAAATAGGAATGACTGAACTGAATAAATGTGATGTAAAACTTGCACAATTATGTGGCTTTCTGGTCCTAACTATAAAGGCTCCTTAAAGCATGACAGAGAAAAAAAAAAGTCACACCTGATGTTTCTCCACGTTAAGTCGATGACATAACACTTTCCTCAGATGTCGTACCTCAGCCCTGACCGAACAACGTA